GCTATAAGCTCGTATTTGAATCTCGTTTATTGTATAGTAATAAATGATAATACTTATTTTAAACTATATTGATTAATCCATTATAAAGTATGATTAAATTATTTTATTTTTTTAAATAAATAATGAAAAGACTATTTTATTTATACATATTTGAAGAGATAGGCTGTTTATAATAAGCAGTGCAAAAATTAAGATATCTAAATATCAAGACTATGTATCAGATTTATTATTTTTACTAACTAAATATTTAAAATTAGGACAGTTATAAATATACCTGGTWAATATCATGTCATTTAAATATTTTTTTGGTTCATTATATTTAAATAATAAATAAACAAATAGTAAGAACTCACCAGTATAGTACCTAAAAGCCTATTTGAAGTCGTTAATATTATAAATATACTTTAAAATAACTAAAAAATACACCCTGTTTATTTTTCTGTTCACTACATTTTATTTAAATCTAATGTACCCAATGTATTTTCAAGATAAAAATTTCTGGATAAATTTTAAATACATTTTTTTCGCATGTCTGGTGGCTGCATAGTTCCCACATGAGTATATAGTACCGAAAATGTTGCCCTTGGATTAAGTTATTAACTTAAATGCATAATAATTAAAATGGGTTGTTAAAAATAAAAAATAAATTTTATTTCCTTAAATTATTTTTAAAAAAAACATTGATAAATAGATTAATGTGTAAATATTTTGTTTTTTGTTTCAGAAAACCTATTGCAGGAGCATCTGCTACATCGTCTTTTAATGAACCTGCAAGAGAAAATTCACATAAAATGCATTCTAAAGTACCTAACAATGGTCAACAATACTTTACTATGGCGTACGATAATGGATCAAGTGCTCTAGGTTATAATGCTCAAGCATATTATGTTCATCAATCTCAAACTTCTCAACCGATGTCAGGTTTTTCTCCTATGCCACGTCAATATATACCACAACAACATGTTGTTCAATCACCTGAGTATCAGCAAGTTTATCAACAACCTACTGAATTTGTTTATTATCCATCTTCTTCACAAACATTTTATACTACTACGCCTGTTTTAATGCAACCTCAAGTATTGGCTTATCATCCTCCAAAAGTATCATGCTATAATTGTGGAGGACAGAATCATACAGGAGCTGAATGTACTGAATTGACAATGGAAGAAATAACAAGTAAAGGTAGATTTAAAAAAATCAAATACTATTAAAACATGCAAGTAATGATATTTTTAACATAAAACATACATACATAAATACAGTAGCATATTAAAGATTTTCAAGTAACATTTAACATTTCTCATATTTGCTATTTTAATCATTACTATTATACTTAAAGGATTTTACAACCAATTGAAGTTAATTTGTAGTTAATTTTACTTTAAAAAATTGGTTATAAATAATAATTACAAAATMAGTTAATTATATTTAAACATTAATTATAAATTAGTAATGGGATAGAAGTTATGCAAAGATAAACTCTTTGAAAATATGATTTTGGCCTCTCATTGAGAACCAATAATTTATGATAAGGTATCAATTATTAATAATTACATAATTATATTTAAATGCAATTAACTTAAAAAGTACTTAAGATTTCTTAAGCTTAATAGTTCATAATATTCATCATCCTAGTTCAATAATAATTTTCTTTTCACAATTAATTTATACATTATTTTCTAATGCTTTTATGTCAATTGTTGCCTTGAATTTACCTAGTCTATACACTTAATATGCTATATTCTTATACATTCCGAAATACGAAGGTATGTATACAGATGTTTACAGAGGTTCAAACTACAATATTACAATAAGCACTAACTTATGAACAATTGGTGGTAAAATATGCACCGAAGTGAATCACCTTGAGGGGCCGCTATAAGGTTATAATTTGACCATGACACGACGAGGGAAGAATATGAAATACCAATCTATATAATATTAATCAATTGTATACAATACATTATCATTATCAAGAGGTATACTGGCAGTAGTCCGGCCCAAATAGTGGTGAAATATGGTGGAGGTGTAGGCTATATATATATATATTATTTTGTTGTAAATCTTAAATCAATATTGTTAATATTGTTATGATATAAATATTAAGTACTAAATAGGTAAAATATAAATTAGGTTATTATAGATAGGTGAATGAGATTTCATGTACAGTAAAACTCGCTTAAGACGCTCTTTAAGGGACCAGCTCTCTAGAACGTCTTAAGCGGGAAAGCGTCTTATGCGGGAATGAAACAAAATGATGTGGTTGAAATATCGAGTTTATTTTTTTATTATTAAACATAATTTAATGAGAAATTCACTTATAAATTAATTATAATTACAATATACATACATATGTACTTATATTTTTGTGCCACTGAATTTAATTTAAAAAAATATTATTATTACATACATATTTTATTATTGTTTATTAAAAAAATGATCGATAGCGCTTTACGTTTTATACCACTAGCCATAACGAAATTACGGTTATAMACATGCGAACGAACAGCACTCACTAAATCTCATAATACAATGAAATACAGTGAAACTGTTATAATAAGTAATGATAAAATAGGTATAGCGATAAAATAAAACCATAAGAATACGTATAATACTAAAAATTCTATTTTTATTTTCACAAAACTACTAAAATTTATCGTAATCTGCTGAAAAAAGAGCGTTTTACTTACCCGATTAGACAGAGAAAAACTGAGCGTCTTAACAGGTGATTTTTACATTGACTAGTATAGGAAATGTCTAGGGACCGACTAAAAACAGCGTCTTATGCGGGAAAGCGTCTTAAGCGAGAGCGTCTTAAACGAGTTTTACTGTACTTATATTTTGTGTCAAACATACATCACAACATACATTATTAAACATAGTTGGCTATCTACAAGTTTTTAAATCCTTATTACTTACAAAAAACTGTTGCATATTAATTTATTCCATTTTGTTTTGTTTTTAAAGTCTAATCTACAAAAGCACTATTAACTTATTATATTAATATTATACATAATACACAATTCACATGTGTGTTTTAAAAATGTTGACCATCTGCAGTGTGTCATGTACAGATAAAAAATTGATTGCGACTAACGTTTTGGTAACAAATTAAGCTATTAAGCTGGTAGGTACTTAAAAATAACTTCACTTAAATTTTGCATTATAATAACTATTAAGTTGAGAAAAAACATTTTTTTTAAATTAAAATATTTAATAAAAATCAAATAATTTATTTTTTGTTACAATGAAAACATTTTAGACATAACATTAAAACTAGCTTTTAAGTCATCAATAGTATATGWAATTTATTCAGAATACTCAACATGGTCTTTGTTTTTCTTTTTTTGTTTGTTTGTTTACGATTAGTCTGACTAATAGTTGACTAATTTAGTCAACTATTAATGTAAAGTATATATAATAACAAAAATTTATTATCGCATTCAATTGTCACAGCTGTTTCTTTCTTTAAATACAATCTGAAATTTGAACATCATCAAGTTTTCACATGAGTTTTTCAACACTCATAATTAAAAGTGCTTCTTAAGCGGATTGGAAGCGGTGATTTTCTGTCTTTGTCTAACACAAATGTAACATACAATATGCCTGATAAAAATTAAAGTACTTCTAGTTGCTCGATTTAAAATATGTAAAGATTTTTGAATTGGTATACAAGTTTACTTTGCATCGGTCGAATCATATTTTTAATATATTTAATAAAAAAAAATTGACAAATTTATAAAATTTAAAATATTTATTCTTATCAAAATATTGCTACAATTGAAAAAGTGCTTAGACTGATGCAAAATAAACTTGTATATCAATTAACACATATTTACAATATATTTTAAATCGAACAACTAGAAGTACCTTAATTTTTGTCAGGCGTATTGTATGACACGTATGTTAGACAAAGACAGAAAATCACCGCTTCCAATCCCCTAATTATCTTGATTCATATTAGTCTTAAGTATCGTTTTAACAAACTTTAGTTTGTTGAAAATTCTCTCACAATTTAACTTTAGTGACTGATAAGGTAAGAAAAAATTGATATTTAGCACATAATTCTGTATATCGCCACTAGGATTTTTTTCTTTAATGCATTTAAAATGTTTTGACACAATTGAGCTGTAAATTGTAATTCGATTTTTTCTCTCTCGTTCTTTGGTGGCTCCCCCTTTTCTTTTTTTAGAACTCATATTACATGAAAATGTTAATTTGTAGACGGTAATAAAAACAATAAACGTAAATACAAGGAATGATGCTCTATAATGCATGTCTAAAAACGGATAAGATTGTCGATGAAGTGTTTGTAGGTACTTTGTCACAGTCGTCTGTCAGCAAGACAGCAGTCGATAATGCTGTACAGTGTACGCACTAAACGACTAAACTATTAATCGTTATTTTTGGATGATATAGCTAACTCATACTAATTACACTAATATGAATTCACACAGCAACAAAATTGTACAATAACAAACACGTGTCCCGAGTTGAAATTAAATTACTATCCTTATTACCTTGTTATCAAAAGTTTTAAATAGAAGTAGGTACCGCTGAACTAGGCTGAATTAAATTTTTTATTTCTTTATTGTTGAAAACTTTCATTTATAACCATTTTATATTATCTAAAAACCAAATTATAAATTATAATATAGGTACAAATAGATTTATTTTGAAAATCATTATTATTTTATTTTAGTTAAAGTTTAAAATTTACATCGTTCGGCTTGCTAACCTTGGAAAGCCGGCGGCCCAGTAGGACTATTCCCACTATCCCACCTGGCCAGTCGGCAGTGTCTGTCATTATCACCCCAATACGCCATGAGAGATGAACATCAGGGATTCCATTTAAAAACAAACAAATAGTTTTACGCGAATCTGAATCGATATGTAGTTGGTGTACAACCTCATTGTTTATCGCACTGAAGTTTGAATTTCAATACAATTCATCGAAATT